TATAACAACAGTTATAATAAATAACAACAGTTATAATAAATGTCAGAGAGCAGAGTGTTTTTGTGCTGCTCAGCAGTTTTCATCTTGTAGGAGCAAAACTAATAAACTCCAAAGAGACGTTAGTGTCTTCAGCAGTTTGGACTAACTGTCATGCTACTGCATGCTCGATGAGGGTTGCCAGATAAATGTAAAATGTTTTATTTATCCCCTCCTTTTCTGTGCACATGTTCAACAAACACACCTCATCGTAGAATATCTTTGTAGTTTAGCTCAAAATACTATCATTTTAAAGCTACAGTACTATAGTTCATCATTTCTTATCTGGCAACCCGACTGACATGGAAACTACAGCGTTTTCACGTAAACCCACATATTTTTTTTTATTACCCACAATGTACATTGAAAAAACACTAAAGTTTCCAGATGTTGTTCTGTGTAAACTTTGACTTGGTCATTTTAAAAGGAGCTCCGTGATGAAAACATCTGGACACCCCTGGTTTAAACAGTAACAGCCCTGACGTAAACTTAAACTAAGTTTATCCTCAGTGGACATGTTTTATTCTCTTTTTTTATTTCAATAAAACAATAGAACGTTTTAGCAGAACTCACCTGGTTGTGGGTTAAAGCTGTGAGAAGATTCTGTTGAGTTCTGATCATGATGTTTGAACTGAGTCCTCTGACGTCGCCTCCAGCTGTTCTCCTCGTCTCCTCCTTTCTCCAGTGGTCTGAAGGCTCAGCGCTCCAAACCAAATGGGCTGACGACCGACTGAAGACGAGTCCGAGGGGAGAGGCTGGTGAAGACGGTGAAGACGATGAAGACGATGAAGACGATGAAGACGATGAAGACAATGGAGATGATAAAGACGGACACCTGAAGTATCACGTCGGCCTCATCCTGAATCAGAGATGTACCAGAACCATTGCCTCAACTCTGCTGTCGCTTTGAAACATCTGAGAAAAACTAACAAACACTATGACCAGTTCAAATTTTACAAAAAATATCTGTCAACAAACAAACAAACAAACAAACAAGAGTTTACATTTGGAGAAACAGTCAGAGAAACTCAAAGCTGAGAGCAGAACTAACTGAAATTCATCCAAATTAATGGTTTGAATATAAAATCCTGCTGGAAATGTCTCCACTAAAGGCTGAGGTTTCTGCTGACTCAGGTAACTCTGTCCTCAGATCAGGTGGTCTCCACGCTCGGAGGCGGAGCTTATGGGAAGGTGGTGGAGTGCATAGACACACAAACGTGAGCACCTGAAACGTTTCCCATGGAGGAACTTTCACTTCCATTCTGTGTAACGACCAGTTGAGCCCTCATTGTTTTGTCTTTGTGTTTGTTTGTTTGTTTGTTTGTTTGTTTGTTTGTTTGTTTGTTTGTGTGCAGAAACAAGCACGTGGCTGTGAAGATCGTGAAGAAGTTGGACAGTTGCTGCGAAGCTGCTCGATGTGAGATTTCAGTCCTGCAGGAGATCAACAGTCTGGACGATGACCACAGATTGTGAGTGATGAAGAATCCTAAAATAAAAGTGCACCTGCAGCCTGTCGAGGCTTCAGTCGTTAAACCGGGTCGCTTCCTGTCTGCTGCCAGCGCCTGTGTCCGGATGTTGGACTGGTTCCAGCACGAAGGCCACGTCTGCATCGTGACGGAGCTGCTCGGACTCAGCACCTTCGAGTTCCTGCAGCAGAACCGCTTCCTGCCGTTCAGCGGGTCGCAGATCAGACTCATGGCCTTCCAGATCTTCAGCGCAGTCAGCTGTCAGTCAAACCGTGACCTCTGACCCCTAACCTAGGGCCCCCCCGACCTCTGACCTCTGACTCCTGACCTCTGACTCCTGACCTCTGACTCCTGACCTCTGACTCCTGATCTCACTCCTGACCTCTAACCTCTAACTTCTGACCTCTGACCCCTGACGTGTCTGGGGGAACACAATGATAAAACACGACCATAAGTTTGGATCAGAAACAAACGGCAGGTTTTGTGTGTTGCAGTTCTGCACCGTAACAAACTGACCCACACGGACCTGAAGCCCGAGAACATCCTGTTCGTCCGCTCGGACCGCCACATGGAGAACCACGAGACGGTAAACACGCTCGCCCAGACAGTCGAGAAGAACTGCGGCGTTCTGAGCATTAACTCTGTTCTGTGGATAGATGAGTCCGAGCAGTTTGGATGTGAAGATGGTGGACTTTGGCTGCGCCACTTTCGACCACGAACACCACGAGACCCTGGTGTCAACGAGACCCTACCGGGCCCCAGAGGTCATTCTGGGTACACACACACACACACACACACACACACACACACACACACACACACA